TTTTCTTATCTGATTAACGATTTGTCGGTAGTCTTTTAATAGCTTGATCATCTTTTGTAGTTCGCTTGACGATACAATCAGATCTGTCCGTATCTACCTTTCGATCGAGTTTATATGGTTAAATCTTTTAACCTTTTTCTTTTATGATTGTCGCGTGTTCTTAAGTGACTAATTTCTTGTGTTAATGATTATTAATAAATATCATATTATGTCATTATGTGTTTAGTTTACGATTATAATTATAAATATTTATTATAGTTTTAGATATTTCTTATTTTTAATAAAATTAATGGCTTCTATTTATCAAAAAATAAATAAATTTATATATAATATTAATTCTTTAATTAAAAAATATAAATTCATAATTTTTGTATATTACTTTTTAAAGGAAAAGGATGTGAGGTGGGGTGGAATTGAATATCCAATAATAAATCTGAATTTTTTTTCGTCTGTTTGAGAATGGACACTTGGACACGCTGCCTCTCACATTTTAGTTCTGCCATCACTTTCACAGTTTCACTTCTTTATAAACTGTTATTAAAATAAAAAAAAATAATATCAAAACAATATTGGAATTCAAAATATTTATCTAATATAAATTTACTTTAATAAGAATTAAGGGTAAAAGTTAATAACGAGTCATGGTAATTTCGATTATGTAAATTTGGATGTGATTGAGATTTACGTTTATATATTACGTAGAAGATAAATTTCGATAAAGAAAATGTATTTTAGATACTGTAACCATAATAATTACGAGTAATTGAACGATTTATTATTGAGGTGAATTCTTGATAGTAATTTTTTTTATTAAGGTCATTAATATGGATGAAGACTCAAGATGACTCGAGGGGTAGTTGAGATAATTGTTTTCACTCTTAAAATTTTATAAATTCATTTTTTTTTAATTTTTAAAATTTCACCATTTAATATAAAATTATGTCTTCGTTCTTAGACAGAGTAATTGTATAAATTCATTCATATATGAAAATATATAAAATTTTAGTATTTTAAAAATTAATTATAATATATTAACTGTATTGTTTTAATTTTTTTAATATATTGGCATAGGTCCATAGGACCCCGAAAGAGAAGGTCAATACTAATTCTCTCATATTATCGTTATTGTTAAAGTTTAAAAGTAAATTCATTTCATGTTTTCAATTTAGATCTAATAATATTATATTAAATTTTTTAAAAATAAATCATAAAAATCAAGAAAATATAAAGACTAAAATCATAATTAAACTTTTATTTTATAAGTAATAAAATAAAATCCACAAGTGAAAGAGTGACATATGCCTTTGATAGTTCGTGTAGTAGTCTTTTAGTTTATTTATGAAGTAAAAAAAATCCCCATTCTTCACCATCAAATAGGAAAAATAGTTTTCAAACTCGTAATTGAAGATTTTTTTGACTTTTCTTTATTAGGTTGCAAAGTCTATTTAGACAATGACAAATTGGAGTTTGGAAGTGACATAAATTGATTAATTATAGAGATAATTATTAATATTATGGGAATTTAATGGACTAATTATAATTAGTTAGACAATCTCATCATGATTATGACAACTCGATAATATTACAAGCTCTAAAGCACACGGTTTCGTAAGTTTAAAGATTTCAAACTATACTAGTGTTTAAGGATTTTTATTTGAATTTTATTCAATTTGGTCTAAAAAAATTGTAATACGGAGATCCGTATGGTGAAAAATTAATTTTTTTTAAAAAAATGGAGATTTATAATAGATGAGTTCCCTATGATAACAATATAAGTGTGTCTAAGATTTAATATTCGTACACTTGTTTCTAAAAGATAATAAGTCGTATTCAAACGTCAATGACATCAAGAATTATATCGTTTTTAATACATTCCGATTCATAAAACATAAACTATAAAGAATTTATCATCGTTTGTATAAGGTTTAGTGTTCGTACACTTATATATATATATATATAACTAGGGTTTTTTTTATGATTAATGTGTTTTTCGCATCTATCTTGTAATATTTATGTCATTATAGTGAACTTTTTATCTAGTCGTGATTTTTTCTGTCAAAATCCTTTTACATAAATTTGTATGATTGTTTTTCTTTTCTTTTAAATTTGTTATTGATTATTTACTATTATCTTTTTTAGTTTGCAACGCTAGTCGAATTATATTATGCATATAAAATAGTTGAAAATTTGGAAATGAATATTCAGTATAGTTATTAGTTAGATAAAGATTGTGGTAAATATTCAGGTGTGACTCTCATCTTTTGTAAATTATATATTGAATGCCGTTAAATTTTGTTCTAATTTTAAACCCATCATGTGTATGTTTCTACTAAATTTATGCTAATTTAATTCTTGCTAAATTTCGATTATTATATATTTTATAAAAAATAATTCTAGTTATAGACTGTAGTCTACTTAGATATTACTTATAACTTAAATAATAATAATTTTTCGTCAAATATTTGTGTTTCCTTTGCATACGTAGAGCAACCATGTGTATTCTGCTCGTGCATGCATACGTATCTCCCCTCTTAATTTTCTAACATTTTCATATTAGACGACGACTGATTATTTGGATTTTTTTTGCAACTAATTAAGAAAAGGAAATTAGGGTAAATTAATATAATGGGTTCGATTAATTAATCAGGGACGTGTTACATAAACTTTGGACGTGATATATCATATGAAGTTTTCAAATTAAATTATTAGCAATTAGGGCCAACGAGGTTTACATTTAATAAGGAAGATGTTTGGATTTTTTGAGGTTTCATGTAGTTATGACGTCTTAGGTGTGCATAACATTCGTCTCATATTATAATTTAATTCTCGAAATGAATTTTAATATTTTTAAACAATATAATAAGATATACAGTTCCACTTTGTGTTGGATTTCTATAATATAATATTTTTAAACAATATAATAAGTCTTACCATGCTCGATTTGTGGTTGTAATTATGTTAATATATGTCTACAACTCGCAATGTACATTTTTATTTTAAATAAATTTTTTATAATTTTTTTATTTTGATTCCTATATATTTTTTATTCATTTTTTTCATTTTGGTCCTAATAGACACATCACTGAAATTAAAATCAACCAAAGACATCGATGAATATCACCGACTCCGTAAATGTCAATGATAAATGTCGACGACCTTGACCACTTCAAAAAAATTATCATCGTGTATAGAATAATTTTACTAAAATTGTCAACATTTAAGAACGACTTAAAAAAAACTATACTAATTGTTTAACTAATTACCGAGTTACATCGTTTTACTGTTTTTTTTTCATATACACTATCCCTAATTGAGACCATTTTGGTGATTAAACAATGAAAAACTGGGTTTAGACAACAATGATTTTAACCTAATTAGCGGGCCCTATAGTGCAAGTAGCTAGCCAAGTTGAAACTTTAATGGAGAGCAGAGCTTCAGATACGTAGCAATATAAATATTAAAATAAAAAGATATTAGAAAAGTAAGAAAATGGGAACCACAGAGTAGTGATTCAATGGATCGAAGAGACAAAACAAACCATTCAATTGATCACAAACGTCACCCTTTTTCATTACAACATTATTTATTATATTCATTATTGAATAGTATTATAAGTTTATTAATTGCTTATATATGAATGAAGTAAACTATTTTGATGAGCTCAGTCACCTGAGACGTTTACTGAGGGCAAAAGAATAATGAAGGACCCATAAGTAGGTAAATATCTCCATCATGTCGTATAATTAGGCTGGATTTCTTACTAGACATGGCGGAAGCTCATTTGACAGATTAAGAAGGTTTCAGATCCCATGGTAGTGAAGATTCAACCATGATAATACCATCTACTTACCACTTCAATGTTTTATATATTGCATTCCCACTCTACATGTCTTTATCGCTTATAATTTAGCTCCCACGTCTCCACCAAAGTTTTTGGCAATGCATATGATGTGGTTCTGCCTATGCCTGTTCTCAGAGTTGAAGGGTCGACATAGTCGTATAACGAAAAATTATTTAATTTTAAATTCTTAATAAATAATTTATTTAATATTTAAATCTAAAAAATTAAATCATTACCGGATCCAAAATAAAATTGAAGGAAAGGGACTTTCTCACGTTCCATTTAGTTTTGTCTCCTACAATAACTAGGGATATGATGGTGATCTTATTAGAATCTAATGAGTTCTGGTCCAACTCGATAGAGTTTATTTTTTTTATATGATTGTGGATCAAGATAAATTATGTAAAGGGTGAGATCGGATCGGATTCAAATTTAAAATAAAAAATGTCTGATCTAACCCGACTTGATATCATAATATAATTATTTATTTATATATTTAGAAATAATTGCTACAATATCTCTCTTTATATAATTATTTTTCAATTAGGACTCTATTTTATTGAATAAAAATAAATTTTTTTATATTTATATCAGGTTAGGTCAGATATATATTTTTATCTCAAGATTCAAATCGAGTTTTAAGTCGGGTGAAACTTTCTTATACTCGGATCGGATTGAGTTCAAACATAGAAAATATACTTCTTGAGTCTAATTAGATTAACCGAAAATCCAATCTATTATCATGCCTAATCATAATCGACAAAATCATAGTTAAAGAAACAAAATTATCGTTGGCTAGGATCACATATCATAGTTCAAATCTTGCATCACCTGTCCAGAAAAAAAAAATTAAGGGTAGTGAGTACGGTTGTGATTGATTCCATTTAAATAATTATAACTTTTAAATTTAGAAATTATAAACGGTTAAAACACTAGTTTAGAACAATTTTGTTAAAGTTAGCTAGAAAAGCCACATAAACCAAGCATGCATATGGATAGCCCAAAAAGGAAAATAGAGAGAATTTATTATTACTATAAAACTATATATTACAGAATTTGAAGTAAACCCAAAGAAGAAAGAGCCCAAAGCAACATGTAGTGTGTGATATATGCATGGGCCAAAGCTGACTCTTAGGATCGTTTCTTTAGTTTATTTGGTGTCTCCCCACCGGTCCTTGCCATGATTCTTCATTATTGCTCGGCTCGGCTTGGGCCTCAACCCACTCCTCCGTCACTATTCTTTGCTGATAGTATCGGAAGGCCACAAATAGCATGAAAGCTACACACATTTTTTGGACGATGTTAAGTATTTGGACTAAGCAGTAACATTAGTTTTAATTGGAAGATCGAATTATAGTACAAAATTATAAGGATTAAATCTCCAAATTGACTATATTACAAGGACCAAAATCGTAATTTGACTGAAAAAAAGTCAAGCTGAAGTTTGCTTACCGGCCCATATGCGAGCAACAATTGAAGATAGGTTCCAAACCAGGGTGAAGATGGCCACTGCCACGGCTTTTTTATGTGTGCATGACGCCCATGCATCTCGAAAGCGTCTAATCCAAAATTTCCCTTCATATTTTATTTAGTTATAAATAAGTAAGCAACCCGAATCCGCTTAATCCAAACTCGACAATAATCCAAGCCCAAAATCATCTACATGATAAATTTGAATGACCCGAACCCGAAATAATTCAAAAATAATCCAACCAGACTGATCCGATCCAAAACCAACTCAACCTACCCCATTGACACAAATCTACAACAGTTGTGTACTACATCGATCAAATGGACACCCAGCTCTAGTGCTGGAATTCAAAATTCAATCTCTTTTTCAGTCTTAACTCAAATTTTAATGCATTTGAATTAAGACACCAAATTCGATAAAAGCAATATAAATAATAGAGATATTAAAGCATTTTAACCACCAAGTACTACAGCATTAAGCACATTAAACCACTCACCAACCCCATTGAAGATAAAGAATGATAATACAACAAATAATTTATGACCCAATATGTAGACCGCTCTCCTTGATCTTGATGGTACCTACATGTTCATTATTTGATGCCATCTAACTTCCATAATTCATTCATATCGAATTAATTGCATCAGACATCCTAAAACTATTACTCAAACCGTAAATTAATTCTTAAATTTCAGGACGTTCTGGTTGAGCCCTCAAAGTATCAATATTATATCAAACAGGTCTTTCCATCAACCTAATATCAACTTGAAACGTATTTAAAATGCATGTGGTATACTACACGAAAGCTTCGGATCCGGCTCGAAACATGATCATATCAAATCAATCAAAGAAACAAAAAAGAGCCGTTACTAGTACATCAGATCAGACAAACAAGGTCATATGTGGGGGGCAATGATATTTATATGATTGATGGAGAGATTACTGGGATGAGAATTTTTTTTACCGTATGCAGTAATTTGATGAGAATAAGAGCAGCATACTTTTGGAACAGTGAAAACGCCAAAAAATCCTGAGAGAGACACACAATCAACAAGAAACCATGCCTCAGTTGAAAGGTGAAACATGCAATCATTCATTTAGATTTTGTTTTTCACTGAAAACTGTTCTGTTTTCAGTAGTGGCCACCACTACTTCTAACATTATTGTCTAAATGAGGTCAAAATATGGTTTGCATCCTTCCATATGTTCGAACTTACAATTTTGTCCCTTCATTCTTTTATTTGGGGAAGGGGGCGATAAGGGAGGGGATATGGTTTGAACTCGTGAGTCGTGATTAAGTATAAATTAAAGACTTGATAACAAAGCAAGTCTTTTTGCCACTACACCATTGTCTAGTTTAGTACCCTCTATTAGTTCAAATTTGAGATTCAGTCCCTATACTTTAATTTGACATAATTTGATCGTTTATTTTTATGTTGTCACTACTTAATCCATGATAGTTAGCCTGTTAATTATTCTCATTAAAATATTGACAAAAAAGTTTCTTAAAAATACCTTTAAAAAACCATGTCAGCATTTTAACCGAAATAATTAACAGGATAAACTAATGACATTATGAAAATAGTGGATTAAGTGGGGGACCGAAACCATAATTTGACCAAAAGGAAATGAAAAGGCTTACCCAATTTAGCCATTTTCCATATAGTTATGGAGCTGCCACATCTGGCCAAAACAAACAGCAGCACTGCCAACTGCAACTTTTCCCAATTGATCAACTTCTTTAAAAAACAAAACAAAATGGTGTTGAAAAATTGGAAATTTACCTTCATTGTTGTAGAAGGATCACCAGAGAAAAGTGCCCTCAGCTTTAATAAGAACTCATTCAAGTATGGAAGAACCAATTTAAGTACCCAAATTGCTTCTTCTTCTCCAACAACACAGCTTGATTCATCAATATCCACAATTCCCCTGGCATTATTATAGAAAGAAAAAGAAAGGGTTAAATTAAAATTCAGTTTATTTGTTCATTAATGGCATGTGATGCAAGGTGTTACCTGCAGATGACTGATCTGTAAAGGAATATGGCAGCAAGGTAAACAAGTCCCACATAGGAAATTACAGTAATAAAGCTGTTGAAAAGATTGGCCAAAGTGTTTTAGTAATGGACTTTGTGAAGATTGAAAACATTGAAAAAAATGACAATTTTGAGACCTGATGAGGTCTTGTGTGTAAGACGATGAGATGGTGATGAATGTTCCAATCCCGAAGATCAATGCCGATTTTGACACATCTCTCCACATTACCAAATCAACTGAAAAAAGAAGAAGGATTTAAACAAGTTGCAGCTATGAAATCCATCGATCTTACCAAGGAATGAAATCAGTTTTCTACCTAAACTCTGCAATTTGTTCTGAGTTTGTGGAAAACTCTGGTAATGGCAATCATCTGGGGCTGAGAAAGGAAAACAATAAGGTCTATTAGCAACATTCATTCAGCAGTAAAAAAAGCAACAATCTTTATCTCAATACATAGCATCAAATGGAAGCAAACACACTTACAAGGAGTAGATTTTGTAGTTTTTGCAGATGTTGTGTAAACTGAAGTAGCACACTTAACAACTGGTGGTGGTTGCTTATTCACAGTTGAAGAAAATGGTGCAGCTTTGTTATGGAATTGGCTAATTTTCTTCACTTCATTAGCAACTTTACCAGGCTTATTTTCTTGCAACTTTGTCACCGCATTCACAGCTTTGTTGGATTTCTTTTCTTCTGGGAATTTCGTAATTTCATTAGCTTCTTTGTTAGGCTTCTCCACCTCTGGTACATTCATTTCCTTAATGTCAAAGCTTTTCTTTTCATCCCCAATCTCCATTTCTTCTTCTTGTTCTTCTTCTTCTTCTTCATAGAATTCTTCTTCGTCTTCTTCTTCTTCATCATCATCAATATCATCATCAACTGGTATTTCTGGAGATGCTTTGGCCATATTCCCAGTGCTTGAAATGACCATTTCTTGGCACACAGCAAATTCTTTGCAATGCTCCTCAGGCAAAGATCCATCCTTCAAAGTTTCATTCGAGTTCTTCACATTTCTTTCAATCTTTTCATTATCTAAAACCAAAACTTTATTGCCATTTCCATTACCAGAATGAGCTGAGGAGACCTTAACTGTATCTGATTTCGCCTTCCTTACTTGAACCTCAGATCTTAGCTTCTTACTATGAATTGGGGTCCTCTCAATCCCATCAACAGATTTACTAAGATCCCTAACCCCTTTCTTGACCTGAACTGGAATCTTCTTAATCCCACCATCAACAGACAAGCTCAAATCTTTACAATTCTCCATTGAAGATCTTCCTTTAGCCACCCTAATCGGACTCTTCTTGCATTGCTCCTCAGCTTTACCTTTAGCAATCTGAATCGGGTTCTTCTCAAACCCATCAAAGCTCTCACTTTTCCATGTCTTCCTCTTCCCAAAGGCTTGCCCTTTCTTCAAGCCCAACCCCTTATCACTGTTTTCTTCACCATTGCTGTCATCTTCTCCGTTGAAAACCTTAAACCCACCTCTGATTTCATCACTCCTCATCCTGGTCTCCCACACTGAGCCTGCAACAACACTGCTTTTAGCTGCTGTTCTTCTCAAATCCATCACTTTTGTGCCACCTATTTAACTTACCCCTTGTGGTAATCAAGTACTAGTTGGACATGGGCTGTTAATAATTGGATAAGAAATGGGATTCAACACTGGAAAAAGGGGAAAGGGGAGAGAGAGATAATGAGTGAATTGCAAGGGACTCCTGGGGATTTATTGTGGAATATGAGATTACATACAAGGTGGTGGGGTTCAATGATTTGGGGGTGCTGTTTAAGGATCTTTCTCTCTTTTCTTTTGCTTTAGTTCTTCCCTTCGCATAATTGTTCTCTCTTTTTCAGTATCAAAAGGATATCTTAGACCGAGTTAAAGACTGCAATTTCACATGCAAAATGGAGACATTGTCCTCACTGAGAGTTAAAGGCTTTTGCTAATTTTCTTTGGATCTGAGGCAAGAAAAAACTGCAACTTTCTTAATTTTTGTGCTCAATTCTTTAATCAGATTCTAGTTTTTGCCCATTGAATATAATAAGAACTCAAATACCAGTATAGCATGCTCAAATTGTGGTTTTGGCCCCTTTACTATGTTTAATTTGTGAAATTGATAAATTTTTGGTATTTTAAATTGACAAAATCTTCTTATTTTTTTTTGTAATAGTATTCTTTTCTTGTGTTAAAATGAGAATAGATATAACAAAAAAATCTTTACAGACTAATCAAATTCTAATATATTTATATCATCGTCAATCGGTTTAAGAATTATCGATAGAAAAATTGATAATCAACATCATTAATCAATCAAAAATTATATTTTTTTCATGGTAAATATGTTTTTATTAGTTTGAGTAACAACAAGGTAGTATCTGATCGTATATTCTTAATCATTTAAAAATAAACGTTCGAACACCCCTGTAAACGTCACTCGAACTTTGGACTTCTGGAATACCAACCATATTTTGAACCATTGAGGATTTTAATGTCCGGGACTAAATCACGAATTTAAACATAATAAAAGCACCAAACCGTGATTTGACTGAAGAAAGATTGGTGAAAACGAAGATGTCTTGATAAGCCAACAAAAATGTGAGTATTGCAACTGTCGGTCCTTGAAACCCTATGTTTTAGAATTGGGTGGCACGTTCCATAGAAAATGCTTGACCTTGGCTCATCAATTAATGGAAACCCATGTTTCTTTTAAAAATTCCAAGTTGAATTTACCATGTAACATGTAGGGTTAATGGCATTGAACGTCCCCGACTTTTTAGAATTTTCCATATAACTATACTCAAGCTCATGTGACTTGTTTTTGGCGAAGAAATAAATTGAAAAAAATGTAGATGATAGTGGCACAATTTTATTTAATTAAAATATTTGTATTTTTATAATCATATATATGTCTAAAGTTTTAGAATTTAATACAATCTTATATTATATTCTTATAATTATCGACAAGTAAAAGTAATTTTTTTACATGAATCTATATAATATTATTTTTTTACTGTTTTGTGATCATTTATTCTTCTATTTATAATTACTTTATATTTTGTTTGTAATTCTTTATTTTTTTTTAAATGAAATGAGGTCCCACCGCCCCTTGCTTTTGAACAAGCTCGTAAGGCCAAATCATGCCGAGAGCTTTGGCTCCTTCGTAAATGGACAAGGTGAAATTTCCACCGACACTCATTTACCCAATTTAATATTTCTCGTATGATCATCATTACTGTCACTAAATTAATATAAAGTATATTAATCACAACAACAAATACAAATAATTTAGTCATTTGTTTATGATTTAAATATATTATATTATCTTGAAATATAATAATTCGAACATATCAAACGGCCTCAATAATCAAAGAGAATATCACTCCCCCTAAAAATCATGAATTTAAATAGCTGCATTTATAAATTATATATATTTTTTCAATAAATTAAAATTTTTAAATATATATTGCATTAATCGTCTTATTGTAATCGTCCCATATAAGAATTTACTTTGTTTCTTTAAACGTATAGCGTTGAGATCACGTGAGTGGCATCGCCCGCCTCCAAATATACTGCTATCCACGTACAATATAATATAGTTATAGGACACCACCAATAATACTACAACGTATATGTATTATATAATATACGTTTGCATGGGAAAGGACACAAATATCACCAAAGTTACCTTCCAAAATTTACAGATATAGGGATTGCAGTAACTGTTCGGGAATGGCATTGATAATTGTTTACTGGCTTACATTGTTTAATACAACTATGAATAAGGTCTCACCCACAATAATATATATACACTGGCCAAATTACAGCTATAGTCCCTTCATTATGTTTAACTTTTTCTTTAAGAAAAACACTCGTGCTGAAATATATTGTGTATTGTAAAAAGGTGTTTTTGAGGGGGGGGGGAACATGATAAACATCTCTGAAATCAAAGCTGAAACTTCAGATTTAGAATAAGAATGAACATGGAAAGATATACACAGTTCCCACATTAGTTCTTATTTGTGTAACAAACAAAACATCGGCCAAAAGGCAAATTCATGAAATCAAATCAAAGTAACAAACTGTGGTTCTCTGAGGGGGAAAAGGAGCATTTGTCATGATTTTTCCTGAAAACTACTTGCAAGTTCTACGAGGGGATAATGTACAAGTTGCCTATAGATTTAATTGAGTCCGCGAGTCACTTAATTCCATCTCTGCAACGATAGGATCGTATCACATCAGTAAGCTATCATGTCATATAGAAGGGAACAAATGAAACGGCAGAATTATTATGATAGACCAGGAAAAATGGAGGAAATGGGGATGCTTGCCTCTTTCAAGCTTCGAGCTAAACCAGGAAAAATGGTGGAAATGAAAGGATGCTTGCTTGTTTTCGTCGAAATCCTTTCATTTTTTTCATTTTTACATTTGGTGTATCAGTCCACTACTTGTTCTTCAACAACCATCCATCCACTGCCCTTCTTTTTTCTGCCAATTCGAATAGTTCTTGTATGGACACCATTACAATCTCTCTTCCCCAGGGAAGAGAAAGCAGTTTACATCGATGTCTGAAATCAATTAAGCATTGCTGGTCTGAATAGAACTTCGTAATAATTTTTCAGATCCCTTTTTTTGCGAAGCATTCATCTTCAACTTCCCACTTTCTGCTGACTTTTTCATTTCTTGCTCGAGCTGCTTGGAGTTCTCTTCATGAGCTTTGTTAAACCTCCTCACGAAATCGAGTAGAGTTGAGGTAACTGCAGTAATTTAGAAGAGAAATATAAAATAAGGCATGAAAAGAATTGAAAAGCAACTTCTACTGTTTTAATCCAGCAACTACTACCTGTCCGTTAAAAAAAAGAATATGTAGCGATTTTAAGATGAAGTAAATCCGGAGAAACACGGATCATATCCATGTATCTCCAACAAAGTTGACAGAAGTTAAAATGTAATTAGCATTACGAACTCATGACATCCATTAAATACCTTGTTCAAAGGGACACCGAGCAGGATCCTCTCCAAAGTAAACAATCAATGCATCCACATTTCTTCCCTGTCAAGGTAGAACTCCGATATAATGAATGAATGGTTGAATACGGTAAACATTAGTAAGAATGTCACTGTTTGCAACAAAACCTAGATACATACCACTGCAGAGTATAGGGAAGCCAGGGATCTCACTTCGGCTTCGGCAAAAGAAAGGAACTCCTTTAAGTTCTGGACAACACAAAAGAGAATATAATATATAAATGAAACACGATTGTGCTAAATCTGTTAAAACATATTATATGCTTAAAGTCACCTCACGGAACTTTTCGGATACAGGCCCATCATTTTCAGAACTGGAGAGTTCCTGCACAACTTTCTCCAATCCTTTGGTTATGGCTTGCATTTCCTCAGCCAAAAATTTAAGTTGTATCTAGTTGGGAATCGCATGTCAGCCAATGATGCTAGCCCAAACTCAACTTTTGTAAAACTATTTTCTCCAAGAACAAGTAACATACCTTTGATGCAGGTTCTAAACTTGAAATATCTTTTGAAAAATCTAGTACCTCTGGGAGCTTGTCAGCGAGCACCTATGATTTATTATTCAAAATATTATGAACAATTGAATATGTTACAGTTTCGACAGATGATCACATGAGTAAAGAAACTAATTTAGAGAGGTAAATCAGTATAGATTAATAAACTAGTTCAGAATCAATAACTAAAAAAACCGGGTATGGTTCCGAATGATAAATAACTTGTACCTTGCAAAGGTAATGCATGAGAGTCATCCTGTTGTTTCGTGCACGTGTATCTGTTAGTTTAAGAAGGCTGTCCAACCTAAATCCAATAGCAGAACCTAAAACAAAATACAATCATTACTGCAATCGTCAGACAGATCAATACTAGCGGTATTAGTGAATATCATTATGGATAAAGTTCCAATGATTAAGCCAATGAATTTTTGGAGCCTATGACAAGCACATTTTGGGTTCATAACCAAACTTTAACTTACGATTATGATGTCTCCTCATATTGAAGATATGGAAGTATGATAGTTGTTACCGATGTTCTTGTACCAAACAAGTCATACTAAACTCACCTCTTGTAGTTCCCTGGTTCAAAGCATTTCCTAAAGAAAGAATAGTCTGCATGATTCTCTTCAATTTGGCAGAGTTTCTAATCTGATAATATAAGTTCCGGCATTAGTGTGATGTTGATCATTGGATAACTAAAACAGTTTGCAAGAAAGAATGCAAGTAAAAACTATATAACTTGCCTCCTCTGCTGTGGAGTTCACAATATTAAGGCTATGTCTGAGATCGGAAACCTAAAGGACAATTCAAGGCCCGATGAGTAACAAAATAAAGCCAACATTTAGCTACTCTGTAATTTGGATGCAGTTTTTGATCAAACCTGGGAGCGGAACTGTTTCTTAAAAGAGTACACCCTGAGCTTGGATTCTACTCTGGGAATTTTCATTAGCTCCAAGAAGAACTGTTTCCGGAGGTCCATGAAATAAGTTGTTAATAAGCAAAAGTTCAAGTGAAAGCCAAATGACTATAGTTTGACTGACAAATTATGGATATCCAACAGAAGGTGCCCTGGTTAACATATTGACTTAGCAAACAACAAATAAACAAAATATAAAGAAACACAAATAAAATCATGTATACCTGTTCACATTTCCCTAACTTTTCCTTTTCTCCAGTGTATCCCTGAAAAAGGAGTTATTTATGTAAGTACAACTTATGAAATGACAATTCATGTACCTTGAATGAAAGTTGTTTTGACTACATCAAAGGCAGAAAGATGATTAGAGGGAACCATCAACTCTAATGTTACTATGATAAGAGAGATTTTAAAGAACTATTAATCAAATAACAATGATTCATTTCACCTTTAGTAATTCCATCTCCTCTTTGGTAGGGCAAATTTTTATGAGGTTATCAACTTGGTCAACATCTAATGCAGATTCATCCAAGGCAAGCACCGAACTCTGCAAAAAATTCACTAAATAGCATAAGGCTGAGAAACAAGAGATTACTAATAGATAAAAGGGTAAAATGCTGTCCAGAGTCCAATGCTATGCTATGACTTTGCAGTTGATTTAAGGATCAAGATTGACCAAAAGTAAGGTTTCAGAGTAAGAACACAAAAGAAGTAAATAATTGCAAGCTCTTGAATAATACACTTCCACCTACCATTAATTCGGGCAAGGGTACTTTCACTTTCGAAAGCATGATTTCACAATTATATGCACGTCTGTGGTCAACCTGCAAGAAGGAAAAGTATTAAACAAAAGCATAGTAAAAGACAGTAATAAGGTTGATCATATGGTTATCACAACCAAGCCCATGGTATGAAGTTTAGTTCACGTGTCGATACGAATTAGACTGGAAGTTTGCATTACATGCACCATTCTAGAAAGTATTATAGTATTTAAAAGTTCATTTCCTGGATCCAAGTCTCTCATCTGGAGCAGTGTTACAATCATTCATATTTCCTTTGGCAATCAAGCAGATAAGCAATGACAATCAAGCGGATGAAAACTGCACTTAGCATTTAATATACAACACCTTCAGCCAAGGTTAAATCATATAGCATGAAGAATCAAACTATAGATGGTAACCTCTATGAAACAAGCAACTAAACCATCAACTGTTTCAATTCAATATTGAAAAAAAATTACCAATGTTACTTTCTCAGATTTTGGTGCACGTGTTGTAGGCATACTTGATTTACTACCACGACCAGCATTGGGAGCAGCTGCCGAGAAAAGATTTTCAAGCTCTGACATGTCAATCTCTGGAGCTCTGGAACATTCCAATGAAGTACAAGAAAAAAAAGTAAATATCATAATACTTAAACGGCACTAAAAACAAATTTTGCTGAGCAGCACATACTTCGAAGCTTCACCCAGTTTTTGTGCTTCAGCCCATAGGCTTCCCGACACAGCTCTAGATAGCTTCAACCAATGCAATGGCTTTAATTTCTTTGTCTGATGACTCCTTGAACTAATCGTACGTGAAAGATGTTTGTTTCTTGAATTTGTGGGAGAAGTATAAGGTAGTGGTCCAGGAACCGAAAAGCCACTACTATCTACAGCTTGAGGTTCTGTAATAATGGCATTTGGCCTTTTACCAAAAGGAGCAGGGGGTGCTGGTGCAACTGGAACTTGAGAAGACTTTGATCCCGAGGCAAGGGTGGGTGGGGGTGGGGGTGGGGGCACTGATGATGAAACTGTAGGAATCGCTGCTTGCTTGGTATGAAGAGGAGGTGGTGGAGGTGGTGCAGGTTTAGGAGCTAAACTTTTATTCAAAGGTGGCATTGGAGGCGGCGGCGGAGGGGATACATGAGATCCAGCTCTAATAGATGTTGGAGGAGGGAGAGGGGGAGGTGGAGGAGGTACAGATTTAGAAGCCAAGTTTTTCTTCAAAAGTGGCATTGGAGGGGGAGGTGGTGGAGGGGATACATGAGATCCAGCTCTGATAGGTGCTGGAGGAGTGGGAGGGGGAGGGGGAGGAGGTGCAGATTTAGAAGCTGAATTTTTCTTCAAAAATGGCATTGGAGCAGGAGGTGGTGGTGGTGGTCGAGGAGGAGATACATAAGATCTGGCTCCATTAGGTGCTGGGGGAAGGGTAGGTATAGGTTCTGCTGGAGTGGTAGCCCTCAGAGCTAAGTTTTCCTCCAAAGATGGCAATGTTTTACGAGGTATGCCACTCTCTTTCAAAAGTGGTGTTGGAGGTGTCACAGTAGAGGCTACTGTAGAGGCCGGAGAGGATGTACAAGAGGAAACCTTCAGAGACTGCTCTTCAGGTAATGCAGTCTGATTTTTGTCTTGTAAGTAGGTTCCAGCTTCTGAGGCAGGTGAAGATTTTGCTGGTTCTAATGCTGAAGAAAGAGAACTTGGCAATGGTGGAGGTGTCGGGGGATGAGGAAGAGCCTTAGTTGCACTAGAAGTTGGGGGAGGTTGCACTGGAGCAGATAGAAGTGTTTGTGGTGAATCAGAAATGTTTCTAGTTTCAGCCACTTCAGGTCTCTGTGATACAGACTGAGAATCATTTATTGCACCAGCAGCAGACCGAGAAAATGGATTGATGTCAGAGACTTGGGGTTTAGCCTCCTTACTAGCATCAGAATCAAAAGATGACCTTCTTGAGGGTGCAGAGAGAATCTTCATGCTAATAGATCTGGGACTCCTGGGACTACTTGGTAATACTACAGTGAGCTTTGTTTCCTGAAGACTTTTAGGTGTTGATCTCTCTGACCGAGGACTGAGGTCCGTGCTGCTGTTCCAATGACTGTCAGTCACTTCTTGGGCAATATTTGATGCACCGATTTGTTGAAGCATGTTAAATGCAACATCTGCCCGAGGATCCAACCAGTCGACATGACTAAAGATTTCATGAACTTTGGCAAATGCTTCCACAGGAAGGCCTCCTTTTTCTTCAAAGCCAGTAAAATCTAGGGAAATAATGGACGAAGCAGCATCCAATTCTGAGAAAAGGAACTTCATCCACAAGGAAACATTTTGTCAGAAAAGGACCCAAAGTCACAAGCAAAATGCACGAAGATATATACCTCAGCTGTAAATTCTTTTGGAAACAGCTCTTTAGTATCCCACAATGTATCAATTTCATCACGATTGAGCATCAAAATGTTTGATCTAATAAAAGCTGTGTTATACACAACCCTGAAGATCATCCCCTCTCTTTCCATGTCATCATTCAAGTTGATACACTCAACCACAACATCACCTTGAATATGGCAATTTATATCAATTTTAACAAGGGCACACTCTTTCTGCAATAAAATAGTAATAGGTTAAACCATCATATGATCTAGAGTGAAACCAAACAAGAGGGAGATGTCACCATATGATCCAGCATATGCCAAAAATACATTAGACATGTTTATAGTTAGAGTGAGGGTTGATGAGATTATTTTTACAAAAAGCATTGGCTTTTTCATTATATTAGAGCACAATTCCCCAAGTTCGAATTTCAAGAACAAGGTTATAAGCACTAAGCAGCAGATGTAACCTAATCAACCACTGAAGCACCAGAGAAGAAAAGGTCATTCATCCTTTTACTAGAGGATTTTCAACCACTTTGTCATATGTGTGTATATCTAGAAAGATGGGATTACCTGCTTATAATGCCGTACAGATTTGTTTCTTTTAGGAGTTGAGTGCAAAACTTTTGGAGTTTTATCATCTGCAAGGAAAGGATCCTGTCCATATATCCGAAATATTGGACGACAACCACCATGTCCATCAATATCAGGAATGCAGCGGAGAATGACACAATCCAAGGTGAGAGCTCGATCCAAAGGAGGCCATTCTGACCCAACATTCCTCCGACAGACATACTGTAGATACCTCAATTGTGAAGGAACTGGATTCAGGGGCGATAACAACCGCAAAACCTCATGAGAAGCTTGCCTATATATCATGTCCAATGTCTTCTGCTCTCCACCGTACTGCTTCCTATATAACAGCAATGCAGCCAGCACGAAGGCCAAGACCGGCCAACCACCCTGTTCGCAATGCATCAGTAGCAAATTATGCTGACCAAGCGAGAGCCAGCTTTCACAGGATCTCAGAAAATGGTGAAGCACCTCCATTGGTATTAAAGGACACCCTTCATATTGACGAGGGTAATCCATTATAGTCAAATCATACTTGGACAGTAACTCTGTTATCGGGTTTTGTGATTCTCCTTCACGGAAATTGAAGACCAAGAATGAAGCATCGGGGAAGTGATCTTGAAGATTACTAACTATTCCCTCTATGTAGGCTTTGCAGTTTTCTTCTTCCCAAGAATCAATGGTGAAGCAGTAATCAAAAACTATAGGCCACCACACCAAAGCACACAATTTATCAGACTCCAATTAAAAGATACACAAATAAAATTTCAAGGAACAAAATTTAGCTACACTATGGTTCTTTTTTTTATTCCTCTTCTCCTCCACACTTAAACAGAGAACTCAAGAGTCAAAACTTCAAACTTTGCATTTCCTTCCCGAATTTTTCTTAGCAACCAAACAGAACCCATATTCTAAAATAAACAGTATACCTTCCAAAAATTCATTTTAATCACCCAGGTATTAATCATTAACATAGTGACCATATTCCCGCATCCTAAAAAGGAAAAATAACTGAAATCCCAATAATAAAAAAGACAAATTGAAGAAAGCCAAGAAGACAAAAAAAAAAACCTCACCGTAGACCCCTTCAGATATTTCCAGAAGCCCATCAGGTGGTTTCTTGTAAAACAGTTTACTAAACAATCCCATGTCTTCGCCCCAGAATCCTTGAAACACAACAACTAAATCAGACCCCAAAACATTCAACAAACAATAAAAAATAAAATAAACAACGGAGGAATATGAAAACAGAGACCTTGACCTTGAAGGAAACAATTTCTTTAAACCTCTGAGGCTTGCAGTTGAAGGAAAACAATAATTGGATTTTGATAAAGCAGAGAAAGATAACGACTGGAGAGAGATAGAGGGTATTTTTGTTTGAGTTTGCTTGTGGAGTACAACTAAAAAGGCTCAAGCCTTGAGCTTTGCAGCTGACAAATAAGAACATTTGACACCCACCAGCGCATCCTTTACTTGACGTGGACACCGTCTCTCGCCGACAACATCTACCACTTACATATTTCTCGGGGTTTTATATGATTTTGTTTTTATTGGGATCTATTTTTCCTTCTTTAGTTAATAAATCAATTGTGAAAATAAATGGCTGGCTCTCGTGCAAAACCCGGAAAAAGGGGGAGAGTTTCTACTTCTTCATCAGCGGGTTGAAAGCCCACATCATATTCACCCCTCAACTCGGTGGATTTTTGTTTTTATTTTGGCTCAACGAGTTAGAAATTCTTCAACTTTTAAGAAAAATAATTATTTTGTAATTGTTATCTAATTAAAATTTTATATTCTAAAACTTTATTAATTCCTTTTTATTTAATATTAATTATTAAATTTAATAATACTTTATCAGTTGGTATTGTATACCGTATTTTAATGTTCTCGCATTATATTTTTATTATTTCATTAATTTTTAGATTTTTTTTAAAAAATCCACGAATGACACGTAACTAAATCAGAATATGTCATTTAATAATAATATCTAAAAAAGTTGTTAAGGTTTAGCGTTAAAAATGATCAAAGAGTTTAACTAATTTAATTTTATAATTCAAATATTTAATTGATTCAACTCATAAGTTGAATAGTTCAATTGAATGTAAAATTAATTAAAGATTGAATTGATTCTTCTTAAAGTTCGAAGGCTTTAAACCAGTGTTTTGAAAATCGGATCGGATCGGATCGGTCTGTTCGGTTTAACCAGAAATCGTTGTCTAGTCCGGTTCAATCTAGATCGGTTGAACCGCTACTAATGAACCGGTCGGAATCGTTGAATCGTTCAAATCGGACCGGCTGAAAACCGGAAAAAACCGGAAATTTTGTTTTTTTTTTAAAAAAAATTAAACCAAACAACGTCGTTTGTTAAACGAGCCAAGTCGAACTCGAGTATTGCTGAGCTCGACTCGAACTTGAAAAATTTAAAAGTAAGCTCAACTCGACTCAAACTCACGAGCTAAAAATTATCAAGTTCAACTCGAACTCGAAATATAATATTGAAACTTGAACTCGAAAAGGCTTGAACTCAAAAAAAAATTAGAAGCTCGATTGAAGCCTAAAATTCGAGCTTGATTGAAGTGAAAGAATAGTTCACTCAATGCTCACTAAAAGGCTCCATGATTTTGAATGTCAAATTACCTCTATTATTTATAGAAGTTAGTTGGGATGATCTTATATGTTTCTTAGCCATGTGAGATTGTTTAAAAAAAAATTAAACCAAACAATATCATTTTGTTATGATTTTTTTAGCCCCAAATTTATTTTTTAATTATAGTTATAAATATTTTATTATTTAATATGTTTTATCTTAAATATTATGTTGTAGTTAATTTGAATCATTTTGTTTCACTTGATGTTATGGTTTTTAACTTATATATGTTATGACTTGCTTTGAATATAAATTGTGATATAAAAAATTATTTTTTATTAAATATTTTTGGTATTTTTATTTAATTTTTTTAAATAATTATGAAGTCGTCCGATTTTTCTAACCGGTCAGATCGATTCGACCAATTGAACCAATGAACCGATAACATAATCGATTCGCTAACCGATCCGATTCTAAAAACCATGCTTTAAACATCCTATACTTTTTTATTTTTATACTGCTTGAAGGCTTTATTTTTTTTATATAATTTTTTTTCTATTGAATATCAGAATAAGCTTTTATAGGTACTTATCTTTACGGTGAGGAGAAGTGAAGTGAAGTGAACATGAGGCATATGTCAAAATTAACTTCCACTATTTATTAAAAAAGTTATTTTAGTTATCAATGCGTTATTCTATAATAAAAAATCTTTAATATTTGATATTATAATATTTTTGCTTTTATTCTTTTTTTTATATTTTGACTTTCAATTTTTTATTTTAGAGTAAAAATGTTTATATTGTGGAGTATTAATTATGTGTTGACTGACGATTTTCACTAGGGGTGTATTCGGTTTGATTCGGTTCGGTTTTTACTAAAAATTGAACCGAATTGAAATAAACGGTTTTTTAAAATTTAAACCGAAACCGATTTTTTCGGTTCGGTTTTTTAAACGGTTTGAGTTTTTCGGTTCAATTCGGTTCGGTTTTTAAATGAAAAAATCACTTGAAACTATAATTTTTTTTAAAAAATTGTCTATTCGGTTCAATATGAAACAAATGGGTTCCATATGGAAAACCCAAATCAAAAGAATTGAGACTTTAAACCAACCCGTATAATACCAAACCAAACCGTTTTACTCGATTTATATCGATTTTTTCGATTTCGTTGCTCAGCCCTAGTTTTCACTTATAAAGGAGAGTTTTTGCCCAAAATAAAATGTAAATAGTTAAAATATTATTAAAATATAAGAGTTAAAATGATCATTTTGATAAACGTAGTTTAATTTTAACCTTATGCCAGTGTAAAGCTGTAGACTTTTCTTTGAATGCATTTGGACGGTGGATTGGGATGAATTGGTTCCAGTTTAAAGATTGGTTAGTTTTAGAGTTGTTGGTTAACCACAAGGTTAGCTAATAAAGCACTAAGAAATGGTGGTTGTATAGTGTACTAAAGAAAAATCCGGTAGTAATAACTTTGATTTTGGGTGGTTGGGCTACAATTAATTTATAGTATATATTTAAGTGGAAGAACAAAAGCCTGTGGCCATTGATGTCCCTTCAAAGTTATGTGATTAAAGGAGTTTATGGAACAATGCATAGTGATTACCCATCATGTATAATATATTATTTCCGTAATAACTTTGATTTTGGGTGGTTGGGCTACAATTAATTTATAGTATATATTTAAGTGGAAGAACAAAAGCCTGTGGCCATTGATGTCCCTTCAAAGTTATGTGATTAAAGGAGTTTATGGAACAATGCATAGTGATTACCCATCATGTATAATATATTATTTCCTGCTCTTCCATTGATATTTTCTGTCTACACTCAACATCCTGTTACATTCCTCGGTTCGTTGTCCTTGAGGGGTATATAGAAATGCCAAGTTTTACATCTTTCACAGGATTAAGGCCCTTTGCAATTCAAGAGTTGATGTTGTATTACCGGGTAAAAGTAAATTGGAGAGAAGATCATATACAATACAAAAGTCAGGTGACTATTTTTTTAAAATGAGAGGTTGAAGAACATTATGGTCTTTTATGAACTCAATGGACTTCATCTTTGCTGTTGATGTTGATGACAGTAACTAAACAAAGTTTCATGGAATTGATGGCTGCCCCAGAAGAATCTTCTCCAATCACTGTTTTGAAAACCGGACTGGACCGGCCGGTTCAACCGAGAATCGTTATCTAGTCCGGTTCAATATACACCGGTTGAACCGCTACTAGTGAACCGGCCGTAACCGTTGAACCGTTCGAGTCGGACCGGCTGAAAATCGGAAAAAACCGCCAATTTTGTTTTTTTTTTAAAAAAATTAAACCAAACGACGTCGTTTGTTAAACGAGCCAAGTCGAACTCGAGTATTACTGAGCTCGACTCGAACTTGAAAACTTTAAAAGTAAGCTCAACTCGACTCAAACTCACGAGCTAAAAATTATCAAGTTCAACTCGAACTCGAAATATAATATTGAAACTTGAACTCGAAAAGGCTTGAACTCAAAAAAAATTTAGAAGCTCGATTGAAGCCTAAAAATCGAGTTTGATTGAAGTGAAAGAATAGTTCACTTAATGCTCACCAAAAGGCTCCATGATTTTGAATGTCAAATTACCTCTATTATTTATAGAAGTTAGTTGGGATGCTCTTCTATGTTTCTTAACCATGTGGGATTGTTTTGTTCTCATATTTTTACTCTTTAGACTTCTGGGATAATCTTCTATGTTTCTTAGCCATGTAAGATTGTTTTTAAAAAAAATTAAACCAAACAATATCATTTTGTTATGATTTTTTTAGCCCCAAATTTATTTTTTAATTATAGTTATAATTATTTATTATTTAATATGTTTTACCTTAAATATTATGTTGTAGTTAATTTGAATCATTTTGTTTCACTTGATGTTATGGTTTTTAACTTATATATGTTATTACTTACTTTGAATATGACTTATAATATAAAATATTATTTTTATTAAATATATTTGATATTTTTATTAAATTTTTAAATAATTATGATGTCGTCCGATTCTTCAGACCGATCAAACCGATTCGACCTATTAAATCAATAAACCAATAACATAACCGATTCGCGATCCGATTTTAAAAACCATGTCTCCAATCACATTTCTCAAAAGGGTAATAATGCCTGATATTTTTAAGACCTTGGGGTCCATTGCCTTTCTTGGTTCTTCCTTATCTGTCAGCCGTCACTTTCAGTTTCACAAAGTGTTCATTCCTATGCTCAAATCATTATTTTTCAACATATTCTTTAACAGAGGAGATTTCCATGAAAATTATTGTTGCTCTTGGACAGTGTTAGATCAGAGCATCTCCAACACTGCGCTACAGTGGAGATATATCCACTGTAGCACGCTCCAGCCATGACACACCTGTCGCTATAGTAATGAATTGCTACAGCACCACGCTGCATATAGCACGGTACTGTAGTTAATGCTATATTTTTTTTAAAATTAAAATATATTAAATTATAAGATAGATAAAAATATATTGAAATTAGATAAATAATCATATTATTTTTTTTGCAATTTTTCGGATTTTTTTTGTATTTTTTCTGATTTTTTTATATTTGTAAAATTAATATTATAATAGTTAAATATTATGAATAAAGTAAAATTGATGATAATGTAGAGATAGCGCTGAAGATGAATTACTATTTCATCTCTAATATAGATATAGAGATGCTCTAGAGTAGAGATAAGGGCTGGAAATGACCTTAGCTAAGCAGATTCATGCTATACAAGCTCAACCCAACGTCCTAACGTACTTAGCTGTAAAATGATTGTAAATTGTTTTCTAACCTCTGTTTAGATTGACCTAATCTGTCGGTGCATGCAGGGCATCTTCTTATAAAAATATATGTTCCTCAATACTGACATTTGATCTTTTTTAAGTGTTAACTAATTGTAAACCTAATCTCACATACTCTTTTTTATTCATTTATATAAAGGTTGGAAAACATATATAATATTCAATTATGTGGGGTATAAATTAGCATTCATCAATGGTGGAAATCTGGTTTGATCTGTAGTTAAGGTTTGAGTGAAAAAATTGCAGGGTGGATGGACCAGCTGGTTCATGAATGATCTATTAGACTAGTAAATGCAGGTAGTAGAGTTTGTTGTGGTTTTTTTTTGGTGGGGTTGTTGGGGGGGGCCTTATCAATTATCATTAGTAGATTTGGTGTACCAGAAAAATGTTCCCAGGATTGAATCGATCGAAACTTATCGGAACTAACAGTACTTAAGACACTAACCTAACATGAGGCAAAGCATAAGTTCATCATTCTGTCAAATGTTTTATATCTGTAAGATAATCAAGCAATTGCAACTGTTCACATGTAATGAGCATCTAACAAGTGCGTCTTTGGTGCTCGAGCACCATCTGCACCGACTTGCCTTGGTGCCCCGACCACCATTACACCAACTAGACTTGGGCTTAAACATCAAGATCTAGCTAGTGCCTATTGTGTTCCTTGGTTCTCGATATCCCACTTTTTAAGGATAGGTACTTGAATCAACTAGCTAAATCTCGATTCGAAATGAAGCAAATGGTAAAACAATCATTTTTTTCATTCCTTTGTAACGATAACCAAAATACTTTACAATATAAGAACTCTAGCTTTCTATTTATGCTGGTGGCGGTTTAGCAATCTGTTTCATTTCTTTGAAATAGTAAGCAAGTTATATATACAGCACACAACTTAAAATGTCACCCTTCAATCCTTTTGCCTAACCTATAATATTTGCTGTACCTATAAGTTGATCCTCCATGTTCAACTACCTAAAAACTTAAATGACTATTATATCAAAGAAAGAAAATGCTGCTACACCAACGAAACCATGACCTGAACCATATAACCGGCATTGGCGGAGTTTCCCATATGTCAAACACATTATCCTCACTACGAAGTGAAAAGAGCCGATCACCCCCCATCGAGAATTCACATATCGAACCGCCATAACATCTTTGAAGCCTAGATTTTAACACCCAATCGGGACCACAAAACACCGAGATGCGATCATTCTAGATGAAAACAACTGCTCATTATGCAAAACAAGTTTAGGATAGCAAGGCTCATCTGGCATCTTCCCTTTCATCAACCTACTCCTTGAACTCCACCTTACACTCCCCCACTGATCCTCAAATCGATAAACCCCAAATCCTCGTACTCATTAACCACGCACACCGAGTTGCATTCCTCCATTGCGATTGCATCCCTCACTCTTTTTTCATCAACGGTTAAAGAAGGACCAATGTCGGACCAAGACCAAACCATTGTCTTCTGTCTGAAATCAAGTAAACAGATGTAACAATTGTCTTTCCTGGGAAACAAAGTGGCTACTAGCAAACAGTTTGTCCCGTTTAGCCATTGGAGTTTATCGGCTTCACCGAGTGACCAACCGTGACTTTCGTAGAAGAAATCAATCTGTTTGCCAGTAACTTGGCCCAAAATCCAATCTCATACTCATTAAGGATGGCAAACGGCCGGGTCGGATGCGAATACCCCCTCCCCTCTCCATCTCCATACTCACATAATATTTTTAAATCCACCATTCGCCCACCACCCACTAGGTAAAATTCTTCAAATTCACACCCGTCCATGTAGATACATTCTCAAATACATCCCCACACCCACTACTCAACCGGATACGTACCCAGCTAGACCCGCTTGACAGCAACCTTAAATTATACATAAGCAACAAATATAAAACAAACACGTCCATTAAGAAACATCATAAAATAAACCAAAGATTATATGAGTTAAGTGTTAATATAGATCTTAAAATACGTAAAACACCATCGTAATAAAAGACATAATTAAAGCCTAGAAACATAAATAACAAACACATAATATTTTTGTTCTTTGGCACACATAAACGACAAATCCTAAAATTATACATAAATTTATAATGATCCAAAATTTAATGAGTATTTAATGGGCCGGCGAAGGTGGGGCGGGTAAGGTCTCAAACCTGTCGCCCATCACCTGCCTACTACCCGCGACGGGTATCACTTTTTAAATCTACACTCGCCCACTACTCACTAAAATTATACCCATCACCACCTAAATTAAAGCAGATATGATACAGAATCCACGAAATTATACTCGTTTACCATTCCTAATACTCACTTCACTACTTCTCCCTTTACAACATGCAAAAAATATTTATGATCAGGGTTGAAACTCAAAGCACGCTAACTCTTGATTTGGTTATCATGGACAACATTAAACTTGTACCTCAAGTCACCGGTGTATGAACAAAACAACCCCATCCCGCCATCTCCTCTCCCTAGCCTCTCACAAGCACTTAAGTGGCATTTAGTTCGTTGGAATGTTTATGAATGAATTGAAATATGTGAAGGAATTAGAATATGTAGAAATTGAAATCTGAATCTGAAACATGTTTGGTTGGCAAGAAATTGAATTGGAATCCAATTCTATATTCTGTTTGGTTTGCAGACATATCAGATGAACTTAATTTCAATAATGTAAAATGACAGAATTACCCTTCTTATTTTTTTTTTGCTTAATTTTAGTTTGTTTTATAACTTACATGTAGTAATATATTATAAAAATTTTAAAAATATTAAAATTTCATTTTATTGAATGATTATTCATTTCAATAAATTATAAAAATTATACTAATAAACATCATAAGTTAAAATCATCTTAATTAGGGATGATCATGGGTCGGCTTGGGTCGGGTTTTTGGTCAACCCGATCTGATCAAAATAAAGTTTCACCCGACTATATAAGGTAAAATTATATATTTTTTTCAGGTCGGGTCTGGTATTTTTCACCCTAAACCCAAACCCGACTCGAATATCACACTTAAAAACCGACCGAACCTACTTTCCTCTCTTGATAGAATTGAATTTCAACTCCCCTTTGAAATCTTGAACCAAATATAAGAAAGTGGTAAAATTAAATTACAATTTCCTCTAATTCCAATGATTCCAACGAACCAAACGACATCTTAGTAAAATATTCTTATCGTTGACCCAGCCTATGCCGTTGACTCTTTATTAATCGACGTTAAGTGGTGGATGTTCTTCTAACATCCGATCAAAAACATGGACCATGCTACCGTGCGCCACGCAGCAGCCGCCGTCCGGACGGCGGTTCCGCACGGACTTGGTTTGTTAAGCCGTAAAACATGGCTTCTTTGTAAAGAAGCCTTTCCGGAACGTTTGAAGGGATGCAGAGATCGACGGTGCGGAGAAGATCGAGGATGACGGCGAAACAGTCTGGGTTTCTGTCGATGAAGAAGTCTTGGTTTTGTTACTGTCGTAAGTCCCAATTATCGTCGAATAATGCACCGAAGAATGAATCGCGGCCAGCGTTTGCAAGTGTTGTAGCTGTCGTTTGGAAGATTCTCCCACCTACGTTGAACTTCACTATGTCATTTTGGATTCCCATGATTTTGAAGAATCCCAGATAGTGAAACAGAGGAAAAGTTTTGGATTTTGGTCTCAGGGGAAGGGAAAACGAGATGAATTCCCTCAAGATGAGACTCACAATAAAGCAGAAAGCAACTAAAGATGAAGGGAAGCTCAGCTTTAGAGGGGGAAATGAATTGAAAGAGGCAAATTTAATCAAAATCGGGATCTGGGTATTGGAAATACATGATTTTTTAAGCTGGGTTTTGAATTTACGTCGGATTTAGTGGAATAGAATTAAAGAACGGTAAACTACACTCAACGTCGATATATTTTGAATATAGAGTTTTTTTTTGGGGATAAAAAACAATAATATGAAATATAACAATAATAATAAATAGTTATATCAGTAGTAAAAATATAAAAACAATAAACATATTTGTTGAATCATATTTAAGCCTATATTTACTTATTTTTGTTTTAAAACTCACGTATCCTATCTTTTCAGAAACGCAATAATACACTAAGACCTAACCCTCAACAAATCCATTGTCCCACAACAGAGAAATCCCAGCCGTTAAAGGTGTCTTTTTTCTAGTCGTTTTGTTTGTCTTGAAAGTCTTGGATTTTACTTATTTCGGATTTGCTTTGGTGGGGTGTCTCCATAACCTTTTTTCTTTTAATCATGATGGCAGATGGTAAAATATTATACTGGCTATGATGACGTCGTTTGGGGCTTCATAGAATATGATAATGAGGATGCATTCGTTCCATGGATTCACTATCAAGCCCAGTTAGTTGGTGGTTATGTTGTGTATCAATCACTCATGTTATCACACATTCTGGGTGACATCACTCTAAACAATGCAGTTAATTGTGCAACCGCTCTAGTACAAGAAAAGACAGGTCTCAAACTAGATATCAATGATCTTGATGAATTTTATGTTCGGTATCTACTGCATTATTCATTATGCACGCCTGAATTAGTTGAATTGTTTCTTCTCTACCGAGCTCGAACCGACATCAGATTACACGGTGATGTACCTCTAGACGACGCTATTGATTACACAAGGTATTGGTTTGGAACGTTTTCATACTTGATGAATGCCCGTGCCTATAAAGCTTCCTCCTTTTCTGCATTACATTATAGAAGCAGAGCCTGAAAGTAATGTATTAATCCAACTTTTGTTACATAACATATATATTCATGTCCGTTTTTTGTTGCAGCCGGAAACCTCCCTTCATTTACTGGTCTACAAGACAATCTCTCTTCATGACTATTGTCTTTTGTCAATGCGAGACACAGATTTTGGAGTGTGTTAGATTGCTTTTTAGGGCCACCAACGAGGCTGAGAAAGAAATATATCGTTACGTGAAAGATGGGAAACTTATTGAGATAGCTTCCGTATTGACAGTAGCTCGAGAAGAAGTTACATCACCCTTTTTTTCCACAGACTTACGTGATCTTGTTTTGAATGGGAGTATGTTCCTTCGGCAATTGGTCTTATCAGAGATTGTATCACTAATGGCTTCAAAAATAACATTAGTTTCTACTAGTGAAGAGGTGCATGATGAGCTGAGCAATAAGCTGGAAACAATGATGTCGATGTTACGCATGATTGAAGCTTTTGAAAGGGTTGGCGATAAAATCAAGCTATATCATCGATACCTGACTAAGGTGTGCTCTTTGCGAAGTTTCTATTTCCCTTCTTAAGTGGCACGTTAGCTTGTAAGTTAAAAGGATTATGTCTAGGCCTGTCTTTTTTCTTCAAGACTCTAATTTAATGGGAGTGGTTTAACATCTACCTTTTTTTTTTCTCTTTTGGTTTTGTGGCGGTGTGTACTTATGGGTTGAGTTAGTCTTTTTCTTCTTGGCCAAACTTAAAACATTGTCTTTTGATTTACAGTTGAGCAAGAAAGAATTGGCTGCAAAAATTGCATGCTTGTTTATCAGTGAGGGATTTGCCGAATATACAGACTTTGCATTGAAAAGGTTTCAAATTTTGCTTCTTCCATGTTGCCTATGATATTTTTCTTGCATTTATCACATATTTACAAATTAAAAAAATGCTAATTTTTCCTCTTGCTTTTAACAATCTAAAGTTGTCTTTTAAATTTATTTTTGAAGCCTTATTCTTTCTACTGTCTTCTTTTTGGTTTCGTGTTTTGATTGGTTCTGCTATGATCCATGTGATGATAAACCAATTTCATGTGTGGATAGGACACAATTCCATAATGACTCTTTGGAATTATTAGGTAATTGCTTTATTTGTTGCTCATTTTGTTACTACTTAGATTGTAAAGAAAAAAATAGGTGAGATTCACGCCAACACCATAGTTTTCGTTTCAATGTAGAAAGTAAATTATCCTGTGAAAATGAAGGCACTTATGATACATGCATCACAAGGCTCACATCAAAGGAAAAAGTAATAACTCTTCCAAATGATCCACTCGTCCAAGCATTGGAAAAGAAGATCAGAACAGAAGCAGACTTACAATGACTTTTTGAATGGGATCCTGATCTTATTTAGTCAAGATGTCTTCTGAATATACGACCGTCTGTCTCTTATCTTTCCAACGGTTCTTGAATCGCATCAATCCGATATCGGGAACTCAAGATATAACTATTTTACTGAAGACAGTGCATGCAGAAAATCCTATACGGGATTAATACGAGATTTTGTAAATATTACGAATTTTCAATATTTTTATTGATTATTTGTAATATAACTTAATATAGGATGATGCATTATCTTTTAGGATTATATTATTATTTATTAGGAATTAAGGTTGGGTTAAAAATATTATCTTTAGTTATTATTATTTTATTATGAATTAGAGTTAAGATATGTTTAGTTTATTATTATTTTATTCATTAGTTATTTAGGACCTTTAGAACTCAATCCATATATAAAGGAGGCTTCATTAAACTTTGTAATTGAAGATTTCTTTGATTAATAATACAACGAGAGTTCGTTTTTGCAAGTGCTGATTGCCTTGTGCCTTCGAAGCTTCTTCTCCTTGAGTTCTTTCAAGTTCTTGTGAGAGAGATTAATCTTCACACTACAATTTGCCTTTTCATCGCGACTAGGAGGGTTGGTTAGAGCCATATTATCGTGTTTGCCTTTTCATTGCGACTAGGAGGGCTCGATAGGACATTATCCATCGATTTTCCACATATCCATCCACGTCATCAATCATCTTCACTGTTCACCTTCATAAGGAAGATCTTTTGATTTCTTGGTTATCTTATTTTATTAGCAATTCCTTTATCTTTTCTTTATCTTGTTTTAATCTTATTTCTTATCTTGTTTCCAGCACCAAAAAGAAACCCTAAAGAACCCTATCTATTATCGCCACCTTCCCCATTCATCCCTTATTGTTCTTCATCGAGTCTTAGATCTTTTCTGGGTTTGATTCTTCAACAAGAGCAACGTTCATCAATCCGCCACCGCTTCCCTATGAATTGGTATCAGATTTGGGCCGATTCTTGGAAAGAAGCAAGCAATCTTGCTTGTTCTTGCACACAAAACCGTCAAGGTATCCCAACGGAGCTAGTCCAGAAAAGATTCATCGTTTCAGGTTCTTTTTATTTAATTTTAATTTAAATTCAAATCATTCTTGTTAGTTTGTTATTTTTTCCAAAAAAAAAAACAAAAAGCCAAAATTTCAAAAAAATTGAAAACGAATGTATTTAGGGAGGATTTTCTCCAGATATCATATTCATCCTAATATAAATCTCCAGTCTAAAATATACCCAAATCGGAGTTCATTAGAGCCTTCAAATACATTCTTCAAGTTTCATCGGCATATTCGGTCTAGGATCTTGTCGAATTTATTGAAAATTCTACAGGAGGAATTTCGTGGTAAAAATTTCCAGATTGCAACTTAATATATTGAAGATCATTTAAACAAAAAAGCAGAATATTTGGAGATCAAGAACACCTTCGATCAAAGCGATCAAGAAAAACAGATTGTTTGAGGACTCACCGTTCAATAGAGTCCACTGGACACTACTGAAGGTATTTGGGTCTGAAATTTTGCAGGTGATTTCTTAACGCATCGAAAGACATTCAAGAATTTTCCCAAAATTTTTGAACACCGGTAACTCCCTCAAAAACGTTGCTCAAGTTGATCCAGTGTTTTCCAGGTTTCTGGGTTGGTTCTTTTTTTTCTTCTTTCTCTTAGTGCTTTAAGTTCTTTTGTTTTTTCTTTTTATTGTTCTTGTGCATTATTTAACACATTATCTTTCTTGTGTTAGTAGGACTAAAGAGTTTGCATACTTCTTCCTTCTTTGCATTCTCGTTCTATTGGAGTATAACCCTTGTTTGGCCTCTTAGAACTTTTAAGTTTTTTCTTATCGCCTTTGCTAGTAATCAAACTCTGATACGAACTGTGGAAGACTACTTGGTAAAGTGAGTTTTAAAGAGTACAAGATCGGCTTATTTGCCTCTCGTTGTGTTACTTTCTTGGAGTGACTTGTGAGGTTTCTTGCTTTGTTGAATTTTCTTCCTTTTATTTTTATTTTACTTTAAAATTTTCTTTTGAGTGTTATGATTTCAGGATGGGCGACAATAACAACAAGACACTTACGACTATCTTAGCCACACTTACTCGACTCACGACTCAAGTTGAAAGATTTGATGAAATCGTGAGAGAACGACAAAAACCACAACTGGATCTACCAAACCAGAATTCAAGACCAAACAATGCTGAACTTTTGGTACCCGGGCGAGAACAACCACGTTTTCAAGCACCCAAACTCTTTGCAAAACAAAAGTTCACGATCCCGTCTTTCAAAGGAGACAATGATCCAGACAGGTACATCGAATGGGAAGGAAAAGTTGATCTCATGTTGGCATACCATGACTGTCCCCAAGCTAAACAAGTTCACCTCATCACCACAGAATTCGAAGGATATGCTCGAACTTGGTGGATGCAAACAAGGAAAAAGATCCAGAACTTCCAAATTTCCAACAATCACTTTTTTGGACCGACCTCAAACAAACCATGAGGAAGCGATTCCTACCGACACATTATACACGAGAAGTTAAACTACGACTAGACCGACTTCGACAAGGTAGAAGTTTAGTTGAAGAGTACTATAAGGAGATGCAGTCCTTACTCAATAGGGCTAACATAACCGAAAAAGAAGAGGTCACCGTGTCAAGATTCATCGTCGGCTTAAACTCAAACATCATTGATCTTCTTGATCTACAAGGGTACGAAAACCTTGAAGATGTACTAAAGAAAGCAATGACAATCGAAGCACAAATCCAAAGGAGATCTCGATTCAGTGAACATTACCAAGGTACTTCATCCTCTTACCAAGGTAATCCTTCAAATTCTTCCTCATCTTCTACTTTATCTTCTTTGAAAAAGCTAAGAGATGACAAACCTGACAAGGAGAAAGAACGACCAGAAAAGAATGACACACTTCCAACCCCTAAAGATCAAATGATAATTTGTGAGGAGGTAGGGAAAGCAAAAAAAGAAAAAGCTGAGAAAGAGGCAAAAGAAAAAGAGGTCACTAGTTACAAAAGCCAAAAGAATAATGACCCATGGGAGGTGAGTGAACCTAATTGTGAGAAGAAAAGAGTGACTCAAAATCTATCTGTGAGCACAAAAGAATTGAGAGAGAACCTTCTTTACAAACAACCTTCCATCCTTGTTCGCTTTAGAGAATCAATTGTTTCGATTTCTAACATTAACAAGGATTTGCCTAGTGTGTTTTCATCTTTGTTACAGGATTTTCGAGAAGTATTAGGTGATCCACCTAACAAATTACCACTGAAAAGAGATAAACAACACCAAACCAATCTAATTCAAGGTTCCATCATACCTCGTCAAACATACAATCTCGAAGAAACTAAAGAGTTAGATTTGTTACAAAAAGGCTACATCCAGGAAAGCCTTAGTCGTGACGCCATCTTAATGAAGAAACATGACTTGAACAACTACACATGCTTTATAGTTCATGCACAGGGAATCCATGTAAATGATGAGAAAGTAAAAGCAACACGAGACTGGACCACACCATCTTCCATCGCCATGAGTTGTCGAATAGTGCTAGGTGACCCTCCTGAAAGCCCTAATCACTATGTCATATCAATGAAGAGTCACGATTTACGGGAGTCCAAAAGTAAGTATTTTATTACTCATTTTAATGACATTGTAACATATTTCTTTTCCTTCTTACAAGGTAAGGCTTGTGAAGTTGTCATCCATACTAAACACAACTCCTTTAAGTGCGTAGCTGACCGAGGTAAGCAAAACACATTAGACGATACACTACCACGAAGGTATACTCTTAAGCATGCTACTATTCCAAGAATTGAACATATAAAAGATGTATATCACGATAACTCTGATATTTCTGATATTTTTACTCATACTTTTAAAAGTGCTTTTAATGAGTTTTATCTTGTATATGAGTTTCCTTGTCAACTAAACAGGTTCTACAATCTACAAATCTCCTGTCGATAATTATTAATTCATGAACCACACTTAGGAGACTTAAGGGATTACTTTAACAAACTAGTTGACATAGTTTTTAAACACTCATTCTCACCACACATGAATAAAACCATTGAGAAATTATCTGAAGCAATCATACAGAAAGCAAACAGTGGTCGACACCATGTTGAATTTCAACCTAAACATCATATTACAAGACTTGTATGCAAAAGAGGATTTCAAGACTACAAGAAATCAGTTCCTACAAAGAAGAAACCTCGACTGAAACGCATAAAGACACATCACATTGATCCTGGTAAATGTTTCACAAGTTTTCCTTTCAACACATCTAAGTCTCTTTCTCTTGGATTTTCATATTCGAGGTCGAATCATTTTGAGGAGTGGGGGAATGATACATGCACCAGAGTCCATAATACATGCTTCTTTGGACAAATGTTTCTACTCGAACCTATTAGAAGAACAAAGTCTCGAAGATTCAAAGTATATCTATTCGGTAAGTATAATGTGAATGAATCATTAAACGATTCTAATGTTTCTCCCTTTAATGTTTCAGATTCGAGGTCGAATCTTTTTGAAGAAAGGGAGGATGATACATGCATCACAAGGCTCACATCAAAGGAAAAAGTAATAACTCTTCCAAATGATCCACTCGTCCAAGCATTGGAAAAGAAGCAGACTTACGACGACTTTTTGAATAAGATCCTGATCTTATTTATTCAAGATGTCTTCTGAAGATACGACCATCTGTCTCTTATGTTTCCAACGGTTCTTGAATCGCATCAATCCGATATCGATAACTCAAGATATAGCTATTTTACTGAAGACGGTGCATGCAGAAAATCCTATACGGGATTAATACGGGATTTTGTAAA